AGTTTGCACAGTATTCTTGTATTCAGGCTGGGACACTATGATCTGGATATATGGGCAACCAGACAGGTAAAAACCTGATTGGCTTAGAGGGTCATGTTTAATGAGTTGCCTGTGACAAGTGGGGTACAACTGGCATCAATCCTGACCTGTTTAACAGCTTTATCTGTGACCTAAGGGAGGTGAATAAAATGACTGTGTTCTCATAAGGTTGATAGATGATACTAAACTGACCGGACCAGCTGATACATACCAATGGGGGCTACCATTCTTAGGGCTTGAGACAGCTTAGAGGAATGGACCAACAGGAATGAAACCCAACAAGGGCAAATACAAAGTCCCACCCTTGGGAAGGAAGACACAGGCCAGACATGGCTGGCTCTCAGAAAGGATCTGGGGAACAAGGGGCAGCGAGCTGCATTGGAGGGAGCAGTCTACCTTGCTACCACAGAAGGACAACACCATCCTGGGCTGTATTAACAGAAGCGAAGCCAGTAGTGTGAAGGAAATGATTATGCTCCTGTAATCAGCACTCACCACACCTCATCTAGACACTGTCTGGTTTGGGCTCTCCTAGTACAAGGAAGACATGGACAAACTGGAGGGAGTTCAGGGAAGGCCATTAAGCTGTTTGGGGGCTGGAGCACTTGTCCTGTGAGGATAAGGTGAAGGCGGTGGGGTTATTTAGCCTGTAGAAGAGAAACCTTCAGTGTATATCCTCTCAGCACCTAAGGGAGGTTCCAGAGAAGAGACAGAGCCAAACTCTGCACAGTGGTGTGTGGTGAGAAGACACGCATCTCTCTTGTAGCAAGAAATGTTCAGCCAAAATAGAAGAAAAACTTTTTCCACATGAGGGCAGTGGAACAGGTTACACAGATCTCTGTTCTTGAAGGTTTTCAAGATCCAGCTGGGTAAAGTCCTGAGTAAGCTGGTCTGAGCTCATAGCTCACCCTTGCACGGAGCAGAAGGTTGGGGTAGAGACCTCTAGAGGTCACTTCCCAGCTGAATTAACCCCTGTTCCTCATTTTTGATAATACTTGTTTCTCTGTAGTTATTATATTTGCTGAGGGTGTTCTGTGAAACTTGCTGCGCACAGAGTGTTTTTGGAAGCAGATCCATAGTATCCACATTGGTGGTGACCTTCACAATACAATATAAAAGGCAACCTGACATACATTAGAGGGGTTATGTGAATGTACTCTGCTTACAAAATTGCTGACAGTGAGGAAAATAAACTCAGAGATATTTAAAGATTGTGGAAGAACTGCAGCAGAAAGTTATGCAGAAACAGACATCTAAGTTGGTGAAACCAGATCAGGAGAACATGGCTCCTGTGGCATGGCGAACTGAAGGATTATGCAGAAAAGGCTACTGTAATAATATAGCAGGGATTAAGTGCTAAAAATGTAAGAAAACTATTGAAGCTAAGAACAATAATGGAATCATAAAAAGCAGGTATGAACTGCCAGAAAAGCTTGGGCTGGAATATGTAAAGTGCCTAACCACCAAAAAAGTGAGATTTCAGAACAAATTTCCCAATGTAGTTGATGTAGTTGAAGGGGAGGGGAAAGAAAAAAAAAGATGATTAACTAGTTTTAATATTGAACTTGATAAATGTATGAATATGATTATGTTACATGATTGCCAATAATAGCAGGAACAGAATTCAGTGAACTAGGGTTTCACCCAAGCTTACATCTTGCATTTTGACAGATACAAGGCCAAGCTCCTCATCTTCAAGAATAAATAAATGGTAAATTAACCAGAGTAGCAGAGTAAATATTGTAAATATTTCATTGACAATTTAAACAGTGAAATTGAAAGCAGTCATTTGTCCACCTTGAAGTTATTAGTTTGTAGCTGTGAAGCCAGAGAAATGTGATAACAAATGGCATGTACATTCTAGTGCAAATGGGTATCATAACCAAAATGCACAAATATGGACAAGCCTAATTAAGCTGTGATTGGTTTATTCATATCACAGCAGCTGAAAGCTATATGATAACCAGCTACAGAGCAGGTGCAGTGTATATCATTCACTTGATTACTCAAAATTGCTATTTTATTCAATTCCAAATAATATAAAAAATGATTATAAACAACTTCACAGAAAGTCGGTCATACAGTAATTATATTACATTGTAATATGAAGCTAATTTTCTTCATGAAGTAATTGATATTTCAATTTTGTCATGAAAAATCAAACCAGAATCTGAGCACAGGAAGAACAAAAGTCAAAATATTCTCCATGATGTGCATGGACAAAGATATAAACTAGAGACAGCTGAATTTAGAATAACAGTAATTAAATTTTTATAGCCAAGTCATTGGAACTTTGAATAACAAACTGCAGTTTCCATGAAAGCACCACTGCAGCACAGTGTATAAAGGCATTTTACTGAGATATCTGTCAAAGGTTTTACTGGATCTAGGGGGACCACAGTCAAAATTGTATTTATTTCTTGTTTGGTTTTAATAAAACTGAAATCCACAGCTCTAAAGGGCAAAATCATACTTAATGTGAGGGTATGCAAAATGCTACTGGCATCCAGTAGCAGGTTTGAATATGGGCCCAAGCTTTTACATGGAAAGAAATGCCCAGAAAACCTGGAAACACAAAAGGAAGACCACAGAGCAACACATACTGTTGGTGGCACTGGAAGAGGTGTGCAAGGAAGCAGGTCAGTGGGCTGCCCTGTGTCTCCACAGCATGGCTGATGTGGTTCTCAGCAGAAGTGTGGTCAGACATGATATAGCTATTATGGGCTCATCTGGGAAGGGTAAGGTACAATTTTATTTTCACCACACAGCACCATAAAGTGGATAAATACTGCCTGACCTATAATGAAACTTGACAAAATCCAGTTCAGCAACATCAGAATTGATCACTGTAAACGAACATTGCTATTTCCATGCACCCACACCTTGGAAAATCTATCCAGTGTAATGCAACTGTATGATTTCAGCAGTTACAACAGATGTAAGCACTAATACCCAATAAAATTATAGCTAGAACATACTGCAGATTAGAAATACGCAAGGATGGAAATATCATTTTGGGAAAATGCATTTGAAAGGAAATAGTATCAGTCATTGTAAGGATTAGAAGTTCCTTCCAAATTCCCAAGTCCAAAGGTTTCTCTTAAAGCAAATGAATTCTTCAGGCTTTTTATGTAGAATGCCAGTTCTGCTTGGGAAAGGAGAACTCTCTTAGTAGGTTTGTGATTAGCGTGGATCCTGTTAAGAAAGTACTGGCCTGTTTCAGTTGCTGAAATAGACATACCCCGTGAGGTGCTCAGTCTCCAGTTGCCAGTGCAGAATGAGGCTGGTCAACCAGAAGTCCTGCATCATACCTACCAGCATCATACAAAAGTGCAGTATACGCCAAGTCGTCCCAAGTGGCCACAGACCTCTGTGCTCAGGCAAGGGAACTGAAACCTAAAAGTATGCGTTTTAGAGGGAAAAAGGATACAGCATGGTTATCAAAGTCACAATTACTTCTGTGGAGTATTTTAAATCATAGAATCATAGAATGCTTAAGGTTGGAAGGGACCTCCAGAAGTCATCTAGTCCAACCCCCCTGCACACGCAGGGTTACCTAGAGCACGTGGCACAGGACTGCGTCCAAGCGGGTTTTGAAGATCCCAGAGAAGGAGACTCCACAACCTCTCTGGGCAGCCTGTTCCAGGGCTCTGTCACCCTCACTGTTAAATTTTTTTTCCTTAAGTTCCTGTGGAACTTTTGGTGCTTCAGTTCCCGGCTGTTTCCTCTGGTTCTGTCGGTGGCCACCACTGAAAAGAGCCCAGCACCATCCTCCTCACTGCCTCCCTTGAGGTGCTTATAGACACTGATGAGGATCTGAGAAAGAAAGGAACTTTTTCATGTAACAACACTGCCCTGCATTGCAAGTATTGATCAAGGAAAAATTTATTTACAGAGATTTTCAAATACAAACATAAAATAGCACATTTATATATACTTTTTTTTTTTACAAAAATGAATATTGAAATAATAGACATGGTACAGCACAATACGACATCAATGGGCTAAACATAACAGCGACAAAATCTATGTCTGAAAGGAGTTTCCTGTTAGTCTTACATAACCAACAGAGTTCTACAGTACCGTAAGTGGAATTTTCAATGGACAGAAAAGTGCCCATTTACTGCACTTCATAAAAGTACTATAGGCAAAGGCTACATACGCCAAGTAATTATGTTGCATTTTTGTAATAATGCGGATAACACAGAGGCTTAATAAAAGTTCTATAGGACTGAATAAGCAGTGGCTAAATGTCTGGGGAGAAAAGTGTGTAGAGAATATACAAAATACTGATCAAGTGGCTTATTGGTCCTTGTATTAAGTTTAACGTATTGGTTAAAAAGTGTCGGAACACTGAATCTTAAACCACCAGAAAGGAATATTAAAAAAGAAAAAAAGGAAAGGAAAAGAATCGCACCGAGAAGTTTCCTCTCTGCTTGTTTTGTGCCATGGTCAACAACTGTGTGCGTGTGTGTGTGTGTGTGTATATCTGTGCAGTGTGTGCATACATATGCATGCATGTGTACATGTGCATGCATGCATATGTATGTGTGTATATGCACGTGCATGTGTGTGCGTGCATGTTAATGCACTTGTGTGCATGTGTGTGAGCACGTGTGCATGTTTCTGTGTGCACGTGTGTGTGTGCTTCCAGAATTGTCATGCCAAAGGCATCACAGGGAGCTGCCCTCCAGCACTTCTTGTTCCCAACCTATCGACTCCTGGGTGCCAGTGGATCTTCAGGGTTCGCCGAGCCAGGGCTTCCCTGGCTCACAGAGCTGATGTTTTCCAGAGCCGGCCCTGGGAGGCTGCAGGGAAAGGCCTGCCCATCCCTGCTGCCCTCATTCCTCCCTCTGCCGCCTGCCTCCAGCGAAAGGAGCTAGGATGCTCCAAGTCCCATGTCCATGGTGGTGGCGTGGCTGCAGGGAGGCTGCGGATAGGCCCGGCGACATGGCTGCCTCTCAGTACGGGTACTGCTTCTGCTTCTTGCCTGCGAAGCAGGCCAGCCAGGTGCAGATGAGCATGGCCGCTGCGGCCCCCCCGCCGGTGCAGTAGTAGGCCCAGCCGATTTCGCAGGTCCCTGCAATGAAACACCACGTAGTGTTAACTGGGGAGGGGGGCAAAGCCAGGCTTCAACCTCCCCTCGAACATCCCCCATGGCTCATGCGGGCAAGGGGGCCTGGTGAGCGCCCAGCGCCTGCTGCATGAGGAAATGGCGGGGGATGCACTGCCAGGGCTGAGCTGGCAGACGGTGACGCGGTATTTGCTCAAGCAGACAGGCCCCCTTGGTGCCACTTTGCCCAGGACTCTCTGCCCTTCCTCAGCCCTAGGATGACAGGAAATCTGTGGCACTAGGATCCTACAAGATACAGGGGGCTGCAGCCTTTTCCCACACCATGTAGGCCAGACTGAGACCAGCACCAGGTGCTGAAGGAAAAGTAGAAGGGCAATAAACACAAGTGTATTTATTTATCTATTTGTTATATACTTAGTGTTTCCAAGGGTTCAAGGTGGGAGGCTCTGCCTTATACTGATGCAGTAAAAAATGCTCCTTTAGGTTTTCTGCCTGCTTGCAATACATCCACCTCAGAAAAGGAAACACACAGTGGGAGGAATTAGTTTGCCCAGTGTATTTTTTTTTTCAAATTAGAGAAGCAAAGCTGTTTAAATTGCTCCCCTTCACTTTCCATAATGGTTCATCAGACAAGCCTCCAAGCTCACTTGGTTGGCAAATTGCTGTTTTCAACACAGGGGAAAACTACACTTGACAGTTAAAGTAGAGGTTGCTGGCACTGAAAATATGCTCGTAGTAAAGGAGGAGGCCCCTCTGCCTGCCAAGTCCAAAGAAGGGCTGTAGGGCTGGTTTTCGCAGCAGCTGCACGCAGAAAGGTTTTTTTCTTCCCCTGCTCCCTCTCTCCCTTTTTTTTTTTATTTATTTTTTTTTCCTTCTTTTCTGCTCTCCAGGCAGGTTTTGAGCACTTGTTTTCTTGTTCTGGTAGAGCACTCGATCCTGCTCGGCCCCTGAGCACGTAACTCAGGGCTTAGGCTTGCTTCCTTCACAAGTAGGTGGTGAATCAAATTCTGCTCTTTCCACACTGGGGCTTAAAATTGGACTTTGCTGTAAACTGCTAGCTGATGGTACGGTCAGGATTCAGTTCTAAGGAACCCATTCACATCCCACTCACACAGGCATAAATCCTTACTAGGCCAAGCCAAAATTCCTTCTTTAATTGCTTTATCCCACCAACAATCCCTACATCCAAAACCTTGAGGAAGGAAGGGAGGTTGACAGATAAGGAGGAAAATTTTCTCTCCCTATTTCACCTCCAACAGTTCATATTGGCTGACCTGCATCAAAGCCCCTGACATGGGCTCCCACACTTGCAGCATATGTTCAGGATGAACAGGCTCCTCCATCCATGTGGTGGAGAAGCCCCTGTCCAAGGAGCCACATGAAAGGGAGCTAGGGAAACTGTACCTTCCAAGGAGACTCATATGGCCTGGTACCTGTAATGGCACAGCTTTATTTGCTGCACAGTGCACCAGGACCCTGTGTATTAGGTACAGACAGTAAATCGACAATACGGCAGATATCTGTATCTGGCTGAGCAGGATATGAAGTGGGGGGCTGATCAGGACTTTGACTTTCTAAGAGGTGAAACAGAGACTCCTGTGGCAAAGGAGCATGACGGTGGGTACCAGCTGCATGGGGTCTACCATGGAAATCACAAAGAATCCTAGAATGGTTGAGGTTGGAAGGGACCTCTGGAGATCATCTAGTCCAACCCCCTGTTCAAGCAGGGACACCTACAGCACGGGGCAGAGGGTGGCATCCAGCCTCTCTGGGCAGCCTGTTCCAGGGCTCTGCCACTCTCACAGGAAATAAGTTCTTCCTCACATGGAGTCATCAAATCCAACCTTTTTTATACCTGGACAGTAACATCTGGAGGCAATGATCACACAGTGATGGGAGACAGTAGTGTTCTTTTGATTAATATGATTAATAACAACAGCAAAATGCTGTGGAATTAAACACATTAAGCATGAATCTATGCCATCCTGAATGGCTTAGCCTGACTTCCTCACCTCTACTGACCTGCTGCCCCCATATTGCCGCATCATTTGTGATCTACTTTCTTTTCTGCAGCAAAACTATGGAGTAGAGCAGGGCTGCTTCTCATCCCTGCATGCATGTGTGTATGTAAGGAGTGGTATCTGGGAGGGAGAATTCAACATAGGTTTGTGGGCCACAGAAAGAAAGTATGTGAAGAAAAGGATTGTGTTTGGGAGCCCTGGATTCCAGTACTTCCGCAAGTTGCCATGATGAGCGGCAAAATTCATCAGCAGCATGGGTAAGTTGATAGGAACAGTAGTGGGGAGCCCTATGGTAGTCCAAAGGACCATAAAGGGAACTCTCCCCTTCCAGCCACCACTGCATCTTCAGTAGAGAAGGTGATCACGAAAGCAGGAGCTATAGCAAAGAGAGGGCATCTTTACAGAGCTCCTAGAAGGAGCTGTGTTGATGTTGTTGATGCTCCTCAAGAGCTTACCCTATCTCAAAGGCCATTTTTGATTTGGTTGCATCCATTAATCTTGATCTTGAGTGCTTCAGACTGATTATAACTGAGGTCCTCCTGGTGCCCCCATCAATGGGGACATCTCTCTGCTGTGAGTAATGAGTACTCTCAGTAAGGCACAAGAAGCAATGCAACACTTCAACAAGCAATAGACCTTCTTCTGCATGAAGGACACATTATCCTTCTAGAAAGAGATCTTAAACTAGATGGAAAGAGGTTGACTCAAGTAGAGACATTTTTATCTGCCATTAAACAGGTGATGGCTTCTTCATACTCTGCCCTAAAAGCATCCTTGGGGACCAGGTTTGCAGATCAGCAAGTCTGCTAATCCGGCCTCTGACACAAGATGTAAGGTGCTCCAGAGTGTCAGTCTGTACATCCAAACATGTCTACTGAGTTGGCAAGCCTGAAGGCAAACAGCATGTCCATAGACTGTCTGCAGAGTTCCTTCAGGTCATATAGAGATATGAGCAAGAAGCAGAGCTTGTACTCATGACCTCTGTGAAGACTTCAGTTTGGCACCACAGCAGCATAATACTTGTTTCATCTTTTCTTCATTATCCACAAAACTTACTAGAAAAAAAAAAACCCAACAACAAACCCAAAGATTCTAGTATGACCAGATGGATAGGTTAAAGCTTAGGCTTCTGATTATTAGCCTCTCTCCCTAAAATGCTGGAACAAAAAGTTACAAGAATTACTTGTAATCTGGTTACGCTATATAGGCTGACATCATTCTTGGTTTTCTTAGAGAAGACCATGCAGTAAGTCTGTCTTTCTACTGAGAAAACCAACAGAAAACACAGAGAGCAATGAAGCAACTGGAAATGTCCTGGATGCTGATCCTTGCACACCATCACAGCAGTCCCAGGTGAGACCTGCCTATGGATCTTCCCTTCCTTTCACAGAATCACAGAATGGTTAAGGTTGGAAGGGACCTCTAGAGATATCTAGTCCAACCCCCCTGCTCCAGCAGGGACACCTAGAGCACATGGCACAGGGTGGCATCCAGGCGGCTTTGGAAGATCTCCAGAGAAGGAGACTCCACAACCTCTCTGGACAGCCTCTTCCAGGGCTCTGTTACCCTCACAGGAAAGAGGTTGACAGAGTTTCCTCATGTGGAGATGGAACTTCCTGTGTTTCAACTTGTACCCATTACCCCTTGTTCTGTCACTGGCCACCACCAAGAAGAGTTTGGCCCTCCATACATTCTCCTCTCAGGTACTTATACACGTCAATCAGATCTCCTCTCAGTCTTCTCTTCTGCAGGCCCAGCTCGCTTAGTCTTTCCTCACACGATAGATGCTCCAGTCCCTTAACTATCTTTGTTACTCTTCCTTTGTGCATACACACATGCCAACAGCTTCAGTTGGGATTTTCAGAATGGAATTTAAGCACATAGAAGAGTTGCCAAATTTACTGGATTGCTGTGTAATCAACCATACCATGGAGGAGGTTGCTAAATCATTCCTCGTGATAAGACTTCATCTAACAGTTCTGTTAATTGCTAAGTATTTCTGAAACGTAAATAATTGTGACAGCTTGAAACATTAAATCTTTCTCATCATGATGCTTCCAGGTAGAAAAAAAATTTGAAACACTATATTTTTCAAAGTGTTTAAAGTGTTAGCAGTATTCAAAGCTCCTCAGCTGTGACATAAGCTGGAGTAGAATAAAGGAAATATGACCTCTTACATACAGTGATTTCAACTCTTGTGCTTTGGAGGAGGAAAGGGAGAGAGTACATACAATGCATATTAGGAAGAGAGAACTGCTAAATCAGTGTCAGAGAAATGCACAAGAAATACCAGCTACACATTTAATCTTGGGTGAGGAGAATCACGGTTATTTCTCCATACTCTGCTCCATTTACCCTAAGGACCACTGCCCTACGTAATGCTCTAAGGCATGGCAGGCAGCGTCTTGATCTAAATGCAATATAGTTCACACGTATCAGTTGGGTCAAGATGAACAAATGAAAGAACAGGAAAATACTGGAGGATGGATGAAAGAGCAGGGAGACTGACCTTAGAGCAATAACAACACAGAGATAAACTTGGTCATTATTTCCAGCCTGTGTCAGGAGCAATGGGAGGCCTTGAATAAAATAGCTTATCTGTTCTTGAATGATGCTGAGGAGAGGAGCTATGGTGCTGAAGAGGAGCCTGTATCTGGGAGGATAGGTGAGTCCAAAGGCTTAGCTATACTTGTTGTAAGTGAAGTCTTAAGTCCACAGCTAAGCTTGGCTATGAAGCCTGAGAGACTCACTTTCAAATGTACCTGCTGGAATGAATGATTGACTGCACTGGATAGCCATGTGTCAGCCTGAAATAATACTATCCCTTTTATAATCCTGTATTGCACAAGGGGAAAAAAAAAGAGTTTATGTTTTTGCTCTGATGTTCTCTTTTTTACTGCATGTATAAGCTATTTTAATCCACTGGACCTACAGAAAGATTGTCGGTTGTCAGAAATTAGGTAATTTAACTGTAATTTAACTTGG